ACAAATTGTTCATTATTTACTGTGTTACTATATTTTTACTGCAGGCAGTGGGGTTATGCTTGTGAGATTTCCTGCAACATGTGCCAAAATAATTTGTCTGATTTTGGCTATGATGAACCTTTACTGGGATTATTAGGGGTGCCATTTTGTACCTCTGCCACAGGCAGCAAAATATGTTGGGCTCTTCAGCCCCAACCAGCTGTGCTACAAATTCCTATTGTCTATGTCACGGATGGCATCAATGCCATCCATGAGCTGTAAGATTATTTCCCCAGCTGTTTACCAGAAGCTTGAATAAAAAGTGTTGAATTACATTGCAGCTTTTCTCCTTTTGCTGTGTGACAAAAATTTTCATACTGGAGTTGGAGACAAGCTTTAATTTTCATCTAATACCTTATATCTTCAAAGGGGCATATAGATTTAAGTTTCTAAGTGTAGAGTTAGTCAAATATTTATACATTTAATGACTTCTGCAAGTAGAATAACTTGTACCAGTGGTATAGTGGATTAGGAGAAGCTTTGTCCAGTACCAGAGCCCAAAACATGGAGAAAAAAAATTGAATTCTCCTGTTCACTAGCATTCTCTCCTCACTTGCTATTCTGCTTGTACAAACAGGCCAGTTGTGTTTTGCTGTTACAAGCCACTGATTATTTGCTTCTTTAACGGGTGAATTGCCTTTAATGTACTACCAGCTGCTCTGTAAATGTGCCAGTGGATTATTTCATATTTAAAGCATTCTTTTGAAGACAGGGTGTTAATGTGAATACAATTGTTCATCATGTTTACCAAAACATTTTATTAGAACATTATACTCTTATCCTAAATGCATTTACTTGGAAATAAGTCACATGTATTCAAGTGGAATTTCCCAAGAACATCTGTGTAAGGCTGCAGATTTCTACAGTGCTATCCTGTGCATGTTTCTTCAAAAGCCCAGAACCACTTTGGTAGGGTTTACTTCAGAGGAGGTATGCAGAAGGTTATGTCTTTTTTGGCATCTTTGTCTAGTTCAGAAGGTGGCAAACAAGCAGAGAGGGAGAGAAAGTGACTTAAAACCTACCTCTGAAACTCAGGAAGGCTTTGTTCAGGTGGTTTTTCTTTAGCCATGTTCAGCCTTCTATTGCCTGATGCTCCAACTGCAGAATTGTAAAACAATTGGCTACAGAAGATGTGCCCGGTATTCCAAGAAATATAACTGGTGGTACTATAAGGCTCCTAGGTAATTTAGACAAATCATGTTCAAGACTTACATCTGTAGTAGCATCTGGCAGAAGCCAACTTTGTTCAGGACATCTCAAAGCAGAAATATGGCAGTTGCTCAGTAAACAGCTGTTTTCAATATTGCACTGCACTGTACAGTACTACTATTCCAATTTAACTGCTGTGACTGCCTCCTGTGAAATTCTGGGTTTTGTAGTTTAGTGATGTCCAAGAGTTCTCTGGCTGAGAATTCTATGTCCTTCCCTAAATTGCATTTCCCAGGATTCAACCGTGTAGAACTGTGCACACTTCCTCAAATTGCAAGTTTTGGGACTGTGACCCAGATGAATTTAAATTTAAATGTGTAAACTATGTATGTGACTGTATATTATCTACAGGCATACCTCAGTTAACAAATAGGGGTTGCAGACTGCCAGAAATAGTGCAAATTGAGTCCACTTTTAGGGTTAGGGTTAGGGACTCATGGGATCTATATTTTATTGTGGCACCAGAGCTCTCTGACAGAGAAGGCTCAATGTCTCAGAAAAAAACCAATTCCCATGAACCAATGGGAAGCCCTCTAAGCCCAGTGATTGCAAACTTCTACATGGAAC